TTACCATTATGAGCAATTCCATCCCTTTAACTCGTTAGGGTCGAGTACAAAAGGCGTGGCAAGGAGGGTTCTAAGGCTCAAGCCTTAATTTGGCACATGCTAGACGATGGGGGGGTCCACTTGGAGTCTTGCATAATTGGGGGGTTTGGTCAAATTTCATAATTATGGTAACTTGCATTAGTTAGCATTAATTACTTTTATTGGGCTAGGGTCAAGTATTGATTACCTCAATTATGGGGTAATCCTAGAGTCAAATTTTGATTACCACAATTATGGGGTAATCCAAGGGTTACTGCATTCACAGAATGTTATAAAAGGGAGAGAATGTAATCTTGAGAGGCAGTCTATGAATGAATAAAAATGCATTTGAACTTTTCTTTGTGAGTGATTCACAAGATATGAGGGTGTGATGCCTAGACCATATTGGTGTGATTCCACTAGGTTTATGTTATTCTATTTCTCCTCCTTTGTTTTTCTACATTTCTACTATTGAAGCTCCAAATTTCAGCCCTAGTTCTTTGAATTTGCAGCCCCTGAATTCTTTCTTAACTCTTTAAGGCTTCTCTCTTGTCCTACATTAGCTATCCCCTTGAGAACTTTTTGATTATCTACCAAAATAACTAATAGGAATGATTTCTACTGGTTCCATAGCTATTCATTCCATCTTTCATGGCAGCAATAGGCATTAGAACAATGAATACAGAATGCTCTTAGCTAGATAAATCATTGTTGTTATCTTAGCTAGATATATGATGGTCGGGGGGGGGGGGGGGGGGGGGGGGGGGGGGGGGAGGTGTGGTGGTTTGTTGGTGTGGGTTTTGGATTATGTGAGGGGTAATTTGGATCCAAATGTATGGATTCTTGTCAAATATGAAATTATTAGTGTAAAGTTGTCGTATTTGTAATATATTTTGTTAAAGTGGCTTTTTATACATTCATTCTTTTTGAATACACATAAGACTTGTTTATTCTTATTTTTCTATTCATCCTAATACACATCACAGTTTAAGACACAAATGTTATTGCTTGTACTAATACTGATACCATAATCTGTGTTTCATTTGTTGGTGGCTTCAAGTTCCTTTCCATCCATTCCATAAGGAATCAATGCAATCTTCGGTTATAGTTTCAATCTGCCATTGCAAATTTTGTGCCGGGACAAGTACGTTGCCGACTGTCAGTAAATGCAGCTGAAAATAATAGCATTCATATTGAAACATATGGAACTTGGGCTTTCTGGTATGTTTTAGCATTCATATGGAAATGTTTGGTTTTTGGGTCTTTGGGTATGGTTTAGAAACATCTGAATTGAAGTTCCACTCATAATTCTTCTCTACTTGATATTAATGCTGGCCTAAATCCCTCGTGCAAAATAGGAAACCTTGAAAGACAATGTTGACCAAGAATTGAACCTTTGTACTTCTTTAAGTACGAGTTTTTAATGTTACTTTACTAAGGGCCTCTTCAACGAGTCTTGAACAATCTCAGATCTGATCCTTAACGAAAATGATCAGTTCAAGTATGATGACGCTGTGATAGCATTGGGCATAGAGAAAGAAACAGTTGCCAGGAAAGAACTCTAGGAGCAAACATGCAGAAAGGAGAGAGATGCAAGATTACAAAAAAAAAAAAAAAAAAAAAAGGTATATTGTCCATTTAAATAAAAAAAACTCAACTCTTGCCATTGAGCTTATTAAGCATTCAATAATAAGTTTTTTCACTTAAAATTTCAACCTTACAAGGTACCAAACATCAATTTATTGGAGAACAACTCAATTTGTTCAAACATCTAAGACTGGACTGGATTCCTCAATCGCAAGTCTTTTATCCCCTAAAACCTCATACCTATGTTCTTTAAGATTATACTTCTTGAGTAGAGCAATCCAGTTTTCTCATATAAAATTTGTCCAAAATAAGGTCGGCTTGTCCTCAAAAGTGGACAAGCTTCAGTTCACCATAGTCTAATCAATGGGCTTGTACAATATTGATGTCATATCTTTGTTAATTTAATTTATTATAGTTCCAGTCTTTGTTACTCATATACTACACTATACTATATATATATATATATATATATATATATATATATATATATATATATATATCTCTTTATCCCTTATGAAAGGGGATTCTATTTTCATTATTTATATACATTTATTTTAGTTTTTTTATAAATTCATTAAAATCAAATCTTCTAATTCAAATAAGAGACATGATTCTTCACTTATTTGTTTTCCCAAAAAACATGACTTCTCAAAAACTATTCAAACAGAAACCTTCTAATGGCAGCTTCTTCATACGTATTCTAAATTAATATATATTTTAACATTCTCACCAGCCAATTTTTAAAAACAAATATAGTTCCCCATACCACACGTCGATTAAAAGAATCTGTTAGAACAAATTTACAAAAAAAGAAATATTATATTCTAACAGGTATTCAGTTCTTCTAATCTAAAAAGGAAACCTTGTAAATTGTAAACACCTCATTTAATTCTAAAATACTAACAATTTTAATATTGTCGCAATGCATGAAATAGCCATTTACAATATCATGCATGAAATGCTAGCGGTATGTACGATTTTCAAATTAAATTCGTTTGAAAGCACTAAAATGACAAGTGCATGAATGAATAATAACAGTAAAAATGTAACCCCAAAATCAAACACAAAAAAAAAAGGTTTGAATCTTTTAAATTGTATATAATATATAACAAGTACTCTGACCTTAAACATTTTTAATTTTTAATTTTTAAATTTCTACTGCACTGTGTTCTTCTTGGAATGTAAAATGTATGAATAGTCATTTACAGTATCATGCATGAAGTGCTAGCACTAAAATGACAAGTTCATGAATGAATAATAATAGTAAAAAAGTGACCCCAAAATCAAATACAGAAAAAAAAAAAAAAAAAAAAAAAGTTTTTATCTTTTAAGTTCTATATAATCTACAACAAATACTCTTGACCTTAAGGTGTCTCTCATTTGATCCTGATGTTCGTTTTCCTTGGAAGTCTGTTTGGCGCTCCAAGGCTCCTCTCAAGGTGGCTTTCTTTGTGTGGTCTTCGGTTTTGGGAAAGATCCTAACCCAGGATAATTTGCGAAGGAGAAGCCAAGTGGTGATCAATCGTTGTTTTATGTGCCTTCGTAATGAGGAATCAGTGGATCACCTTCTCATTCATTGCTATGTGGCTAGAGAGTGTTGGGATTTGATGCTTGGCTTATTTGGGCTTTTTTGGGTTATGCCTAGATCTACAAGAGGGTTGATTGAGGCTTGGAGAGGTTGCCCTGTGGGGACTCACAGTCAGGATGCGTGGAGGGCTACGCCGCTTTGTGTATGGTGGTGCATTTGGCTTGAAAGGAATAGGAGATATTTTGAAGGAAAGGCGATGTCGATTTCGGTGCTTAAATTCTCGATTATTTCCACTCTTTTTTGTTGGGTTTTAGGGAGAGATCATAGATCTTTGGAGGAAATTGTTGATTTTTTGGCCTCTTTGAAGGATTGAGTGGCTTTTTGTATTGTTCTTGGGTTCCGCTCCCCCTTGGAGTGTTTTTTTTATAAAATTTTTTATTTATCAAAAAAAAAAAAAATACTCTTGACCTTAAACGTTTTCCATTTTTAAAAAAATTCCTACTGCATTGTGTTCTTCTTGGAATGTAAAATGTATATTTCCATTCTTATTAGAGGAAGTTAAAAGTAGTCTTTCACCATTTAAGCCTTTTTTTTTTTTTTATAAGTCACCATTTAAGCCTCTTGAAAACCAAGAAATGTTCCTTTTTTTTTAAATAAAATTTTTCAACCTTCTATCATATCTTCTTTGCATCCTTCGTGTTATATATATATATTGATAAATAAGCAATTCTTTAAAAGCGTTCCGTCCCTACAAGACTACAAGACCACAAAAACCTGAGTACCCTAAGGCCACAGGGAAGCCAAAAACTCAATAGTCTCGTCAGCAAAGGAACATAGTCTACCCGAACCCCAAAAAAAGAGAGAGCTAATAACAGAAGATTTGAGAACAATGACCGAAGATTCCTCTCCTTCAAAGGATCTTCTATTCCGCTCCCTCCACAAACACCAACAAATACACACGGGCACCATCCTCCAAAACCCTCGAGCCTGTGCTCCCACCCAACCCCCTCTCCAGGTGTCCATCAAGCCTCTCGTAGATCTAGGCATGACCGAGTAAACTCCAAATAGGCCTAACAAGATATTCCAACATTCAACCGCTACTGAACAATGCAAAAGAAGATGGTCAACCGACTCACCATTACACTTACACATGCAACACCAATTCACCGTGATATGCCATCCTTCACATTATAGATCAATACCAAAAAAAATGTTTATCACATTTCCTCGGCATAATTCTTGATTGATATATGACATATATAGATTCAAAATTACTAAAGTAGAAATAGTGGTAATAGTGGAACCGGAATTTAAATTATGGTTGTTTATTAGTTTTTTAGATAAATTAATTTAAAATTTGCTTTTGTCTAACCTAATTATCTTGATGTCTTTACAGATAGAGGTCGAACAAAATACATGCTAATTCAAATAAAAGCGGATCAAAAATACAAGTGACTGAAAAATTTATACTTTACACTTTAAATTTTTACCTCGCTTTCAGTTAAAAAATATTCATATATTGTGGTGGATAATGTGTACCACTTTTTACACATCAAATATTAAGCACATATAGCCTTCAATAGTATATTCCCTTAGTGTTTAAATTTTTGCAAATTTTTTTTTCAACATGAACTTTACTCAAAGAGAAAAGAAATAAATAAAATTAAAAAATATTCATAAACATTTATCACCACGTGCAATGCACGTTACCATCTCTAGTATATATATATATACACACACACATAAACCTCTTTGACTCACAAATGTATCTTTTAAAAATTGAGCATATCTTTTGACCAATTTTGTTGAAAAACTTATAAGCCGTGAAAATAAGGGAAAGATAAACAACAACAATAGAAATACTTACCGGAAGTCCACACAAAGTGATGTTAAATTTGCCGGACCGAGGTTCTCTATATCCAAGGCGCAAATATTTGAATACAAAATTGAAAGCTTCATCTCATGAGAAACTTTGACGATCAAGATGGAAACACATTGAAAGTTGGAGGGCTGAACATGGAAACCAGTCTTCATCATACAAAATATTCTCCCTCCCAAATGAACTAAGCAATTCTCCGAAATTGACATCTCATAATCCAATGGTAGAGTTTCAAAGTGCAGTCCGGTAATTTCCTTAGGAACGCCAAGAGATTTAATGACACCATCACCTTCATCAGAAAATATGACACGACAAGCAAATAAGTTATCATAAAATCCGAAAGCGTATATGCAATCCTCAACATATTCAGCCTTTCCACTGAAGGCCCTGTGTTTCTTTATCTTGTCTGCCTTTTTGACGACCTGCCACTCCTTCATTGAACTCCCGACTTTGTAACAATAGAATTCAGTTATGGGAATAATGGAAATAAAATCATAAACTGAAATGAGAACACAGTCATTGATGACGGCATAACCAGAGACAGTCTTGGCTGATCCTTCCCAGGAGCGAGTCTCAGGTAGGGAAGAACAACTCCACCCTTCATCCCCCAAATGTTCGAAATGGGGAGGCTTGATGCGGAGGCGTGGAGAAACCATGGTACCTCCAGCAAGCGCAAAAAAACTTCCACGGACAGCCATCACCTTGGGAAAAGGTTTTGATGCATTTGGCCAATGCAAATCAGAAATCTTTTTGGTAATTGTATCAAAAAGAAGGGGTCGATACTGATTATATTCCTCCTCCTTAATGAGCCAATATGAATACATCAAGCACATGTGCGATCCTGAGATATCACAACCAACCGGTGAATATGGTCTATCTTTCTCTAAGCAGCTTTTAAACGCTTTGTGCAGAGGACTAACTCTTGCAATTTTAGATCCTCCTCCTCCTCCTCCTCCTCCTCCTCCTCCTCCTCCTCCAAATTTGATTTCATAAATTGCAGCCCAATATGGCCCACCAACAAAAGTCGCAACCAAAAACAATGATACTTCCTCATCCTCCATCTTTAGTTACCTCCCTCCTCCGTCGGAGCTGCAATGGGGCTATAACATTGCAGAAGAGATCTCTCTCTGCTGCGGCGTGTAGATGCGTTCTAGGGTTTTGGTGCCTCTACCCCTCAGTCTCCTCCCTAGATATAAAAGAGTAATGAACGGCATCCGTCTGCCGCTTGCTTTAGCTAGTTCTACAAGGACATTGATACCCTTTATGAATCCTTTTATTAATTACTTCTAACGGGCCTCACAAATAAAAAAACCTACTACCCCACGAGTCTATATGACTAATGAGATTCATTTAAAAATATGAGGTAATTAATTATTTAAAAAATTATAGTTCATTTTTTAGCATTCATCTTTATATAGTATCTTTGTTAGTTATTCAAATTTCAAAAACCATGCCTATCAAATTATATTTGTATCTCTATACCTATATTTATATTTATATACTATTCTAAAAGTGTAACTAATTTCTTAACATTTTTAATTTATTATTTTTTATAAAAATTATCATTAAAGCACCTAATGATCCATATCTAATTAAAGTACTTAATGATTCATCTAATCATTCATACTGTATTTTTTTTTATGTTTCCTTTTTATCTTATTCTTATATAGCAATTATATTCTTATTCATTTCCTTTTATGATGGACACAGATTTCTACTTTTAATATGAGTGGGATATTTTGAATTTCAAATATTTTTTACTATTTTTTATATTAGTTAAAAGTTTTTAAATTAAATTTCGATTACTATTAATTTTATACTATGTTTTCTTTAGGTGAATACCACCCAAAGGACACAAACGTTTATTTGACATCTTATTCCAACCATAAAATAATTATATTGTTAAATAGGAAAAAATATTATATTGTTAAAAATGTTTCCTTTTATTTATGACGGACACAAACCACTATTTTTAATATAAGTTAATACCTTTTAAATTTTGCTATCTATTCCTATATAATAATTATATTGTTAAACGTTTCCTTTTATAATAACGGACGCACAATTTTTAATATGTGTTAATGCCTTTAAAAAATCAAATTGTGTTTATTATAATTGTATACTAAGAAAACCAAAAGACACAAAATATTAATAAGATAAAATTAAAGTTCCTAGAGAAAAACATTGATATATATATATACATAAGGTAAGGAGATTGATGAAAGTAGAAAGGAATTTGAGAATTCTCAATTGATCAAATTTCTAGATCCTCTAAGTTAAAATGTTTCTATATTATCTTAAGTTGAATTGTTATGATTTTAACATATGTCATCTCACCTAAATTTAGGGCTGACAACGCTCCACGTAATTTAGTAATAAAAAAGGTTTGAAACGACAATGTTTTGAAGAAGAAAAATAGCTTTAAGTTTCCAACCACCCACCTCGGATTCTCTAAGTTAAAACTTCTCTACATTATCCTAAGTTGAATCTTAGAAACTTTGACAAGTGGCCTTTATTACAAATCTATGACTTATAATGCACCACATCAACAAATAAAAAATAAAAACTAAAGTTGTTTAACCAGTGAACAAAGAAATGTCATTAACGAATGCTAAAACTTCTTCAAGTCTCCATTTTTTTCTGGTCTATAATGCCTGAAACTAGTTGGTTCTTCTTGGATTGGTACAGAATTGGTGGTGAAGTTTACAAATTTGTGGTGATCATCGGTGAGATTAAACCCTAATTTTTAGTTTAGATTGAATAACTAGCACTTTGACAGAATCAAATGCAGTTACCAACTTGATGTAAATAACAAGGGCAAAGTACAAAAAGCCTCCCTTGACTTATAGTCTTTTCCAATAAACCCCCCTCATCTAATTTTTTACCAAAGAACCCCCCTCGACTTGTAACCATTTTCTAATAAATCTCACTTATATAATTTTTTACCAAAGAACCCTTCTCAACCATCTAAAGGGTGTAAAAGAATTGATATTTAGACCAAAATGCCCTTTATTTAAATCTTAATTTTCTCGAACTTCAAAAATCCATATCTCACAAACCGTATATTCAAATATTGCAAATAATATATGCACGGAAAGCTTATAAAATAAGAATTCCAGAAATATGAGATTTGTTTAACAAAACTGTTGGAAACTAGTTGTGTAAACTAGTGTTTTAACATGTGAATGAAACTTGCCCGTATATAGAATACAATGCTGGTGGCGATTAAAAATTTAATGAATTATTGGCACGTGATTCAACGTGGTTGAGGATGGGTTAGAAAGTTTAGGGATGCATTGCACTTATAAGGTGTGATAAAGGATTCTGAAAGGTGTGACAGTAGTACGTTAATTCAACACAAACCTTTGAACCATTAATACATCTGGTGGTTGTGTCTCGAACAGACACCGTGTTTCAGATATTTCCATAATAACGATGAATTGCATTTGATCTGAAACATTGTAATGGATGGTGAAGTGACGCACACAGTCGCAGTAGACACCACTTGTCTATAAATACTCCTATGGGCTGCATTAATTTAAGATACAATTTATTATTCTCTCCCTCTCTCAAGTTAAACCCAACCCAAGTGGGTGTGAGTTCAAGCCATGGTCAAGTGGTCTGAGCCACTTAGGCCCAAAACCAATTTAACTAAGCCATATTAAATTTGGTCCGAGCCATTTGGTTCGGATTGCACCCAATTCAGCATTTATATAGTATAGATGTATTTTTGAGTCAGAAAAAGTATTACACGAAAGAGGTTCGCCGTATCCACGAGTTTGTAGTGCTGCTACCGGTGGATGTAAACCGTTGTATCCTGGGAGATAGATGTCATTGAGTCTGTTAGCACCATAGCCGGATGAATTTGTCTTAAGGACATAGTATTCAATACTAGCCTCGGTCCAGGTTCTTTATTTACTATTTATTAATTTATTGCTTTATTTTGCATATTTAATTAAATATATAGTTGCATATTTAATTAATCAATTCTTAGTATATTGTTAATTATCTCATATCATATTAGTATAAGAGTTGTTATATCTTAAAAGTCATATTAAACATATATTTTACCAACAATCTTAAGACAGATTCACGTCTTGCATAAATTTTAATATATGCTTCTATTTAAGATTTAAACTAGTAGATATTATACTAATGATTGAGATATAATAAAATATTGTTATATATATTATTATATGATAATATGCTTCATATTGATGTGTTCAATATTACGTGAAATTGAAGCAAGTTGTATAAGTAGATTATTGAATTATTTATATAATTCAATATTGGTTAAATAATTTTAATTTTATACATAATATTATGTAGTATATTATATTATCTTAAAACATTTGTGACAACTATAGATAGAAAAAGGTATTTCATTCTTCTTATCAATAATTGCACAACACGATGTTATCCATATTTGCTACAAAGTAAAGATAAAGCCTTAGAAATGTTTAAACATTACAAAAATGATGTTGAGAATCAACTTGGCAAAAAGATCATGGTATTAAGAACTAATAAAGGTAGTGAATACGAAATACCATTCGCTGACATTTGTTTAGAATATGGTATTATTCACCAAACTATCGCTCATTATTCACCTCAACGGAATGGTGTTGCTGAATGCAAAAACTGTACTTTAAAAAAAATGATGAATGCTATGTTGACAAGTTCTAGTTTAACTTAGAATTTGTGAAAGGAAGTTTTGTTTTTTACAAATTATGTTATCAATAAAATACCTGAAAAGAAAACTAATGTGACACCATATGAATTATAGAAAGGTCGAAAACCTTCCTATAAATTCTTAAAAGTGTGAGGGTGTCTAACTAAGGTTGCAGTTCCTACTCCTAAGAAAGTTAAAGTGAAACCTATAATGTGGTGTTATCTTTAATTGGTATTAGGCATTTTGGAATAAAACAAAAAAACAAAACATACGGGCTTGGGCCCAAAATGGATAATATCATACCATGTGGTTGAGTGGATCGTTACATAAAACCTTTGATAGGTTATCCTCATAACAGTAAAGCATATTATTTTCTTGTGCATAAATCATACAATGAAAATGACGATGAGTTTAGATGTAATAAAAGAGCTAGAACGTTTAAATCTTTTATTCCTGATTTTTTAGCCTGTTTATTGAAGAATAAGCCACAGAGCTTTAAGGAAACAAATTCTTCTCTTGATTATTATTATTTCTTAAATTAATTATGTGATATAATTAATCATATGATATAATATTAAACTATATTTATTTATGCGAGTTCAATATTGTAATTATAAATGTTTACTATAATATTGAACTATGTAGTTGAATTACTTAGTATACATTATAATTTAATTTTACAACATAGTTTATTTAATATGTGATATTATTGAATTTATATGAATTCATGACTGGTTTGTGTATGTAATACAACAAAAAAAAAATTGACTAGTCCAATTGTGTCAATTCTCCCGATAGTTAAGGGAAAAAGATCTATATTAGTGTTTAAGACACGTATAGCTGTGAATAGGCTAAATAAGAGAAGATTTTCCAATAACTCTAAAGAGTTTAATGGAAAATGCTATGAATACACTAAACAAGTACACCGAGACAAGCTAAATCAAGCTAGTTAGCTCTGATGTACAATTTAGCTAAGAGTTAAAATGTTACTGAGTTGTAAACTAGTTAGCCTAGTTACAAGCTAAAATGATTAATGAAGTGCACAGAACCTAAGAGGAAAATAAAAATCTGTTAGTTGGTTTTATCTCTCAACTTGGTAGTAAAAAAAAGAAACACGAGGGTGATGAATAACCATTTTAGCCATAAGCTATTTGAGCTATACATCATATCTGCTTATGTAGGAGGAAATAATACTACTTATAAAGTAATAATTTTTGAAGAATATTCTTCGAAACAAATTACTCTACTACCAAGGTAAACTATTTAGATAAGTGTGTATTAAAATTAACAGCTACTAAAATTGATAATTGACCAAACTTAACTTCAAGTTAGTGGTAATAGCAGAGAAGTGGGTGCTCATTATAAATTAGTAGTAATTAATAAGAAGAATGTGCTTAATCTAAGCTAGTTAGAAACTCATTTTTAACTAATAATGATAGCTGAGAAGTGAGTGTTCACTGTGTGGTGATGTATCCAAAGCTTAAATAATAAGCTAGTAATTTGCTTAAATGATTGAGTTATGTGATGTGTGACATTTGAAATGTTATGACAT